AGGAATGTAGAAGTTCCTACTTATGAGAAAGCAGGAAAGTATTTCCTTTTTTTTCCTCAGTGAAACGTAGATGTCCTGTACTTTTCCTGAAAGGCATCAGTGCTTGGGATATTGATTGCATGTTGCAATTTCTTTCATCTTACAGAAGCAGCTTGGTAATGAAATCTAGTAAAGCATTTTGACTTTGCTGCTTTGTGGAACAAAATCTTGTGGTGCGTAGAGTGAAAAAATGATGCTCTGGGAAATAGATTGGGTTATGAAGGATAAAAATTGGGCTTTTTTTGGGGTTTACAAGTAAGCCAATGGGTCTCTATTCTGCCCATTTTGCTTCAAGATTTTGGGAATTCAAATCTAATTATATCCCAGTTGTCAAACCGACGGATATGAGATATGACCTCTAACTGTTGATTGTATCTAGATGTTTTTCTCATTTACGAAAAAATAAAAAAATAAAAAAATAAAAAAATAAAAAAATAAAAAAATAAAACAGCAAAGAATGGGAATTGAAGAATATATATGGCATCTGAAAGCAATATCAAAACTGAATATGCAGAAAGAAAAATTTGTCTTATCATACATCAAACTTACTGTGTATATCCAAGTATGGAATCCAAGAAAAACTGTGATGAACCCAAAAATGGGGAGAAAAAGCCTACAACATCAAGTGCATTCAATACCAAAATGGAAAAATGCAACTTATAGAGAATCACAGATCGATTTCTTATTCTTGTCAACTTTTCTATCTAATCAAAACCCCCCAACCAACAAGAAAAAGCCTCTGTACATGCATATATTTTTTTCATTCATTCATTCAGTCTCTTTATCATATGTAGAAGGCATGTCTTTCAACTCGTGGTTGTGGATTTTGGAGGTGTCCTTGGAGCTAATCCAACTGCCTCAGAGCTTTTCATCAACCGGAGCCGCTTGCATGATTCCACAAACATTCTGTTCAAAGACAAAAAATAAAGGATTGATGTTAAGTAAATATGCACGATCTAGTAAAACAAAGAAAAATTAAAATCCCCAGGCATATATATTTGGCCGAAAATTTTCTCATACAATCTGTTGTCAGATTATGAATAAGAACCATTAACATTTGGGTGTTCGGTCTTAATTCACAGTCTAATAACATTGCGGGGAGACATGGTTAGGATTTATTTGAAATCTTACTTCCATGGTACATCTCCTACAAGCATCCAATCCCCATCTCTGTCCTCATAAGTTGGTACATACTCCACTCCATTTGCAGGGTCCATGAGCTTTCTCTCATTCAAATAATTACCTGCATCAACAGTAAACATCAACCATTAACTCCTGACATGAAAATTATGACATAGGTTTTTAACTTTTTACAAAGAAGATCAAATCTAGAAGAGATATGATGAGATAAGATACATACGGATGGTCAAGAAGGAGAACATGTCCTCAAGAGCACCCAACAGCTGCTGATAGCTATTGTACATCTCAAGATCCACTTTGCGCAGATATGGAGCTCCATCTACTGCCACTTTCACGTACTTGCAAGTCTTCATCAAGTTCTTCCTTGCCACTCTCACTGGCGGCCACCCCACCACTTGTGACCTGAAATATTCACACAGAACTTCCATCAAACACATTGTAAACTTAAAAATCAAAGAAAACCCATTTCAGTTTTCTTGTAATTGTACCCAAAAAAAATGAGGACCATGAAAACTAAGGAAACCCCACTTCAAATTTCATATAATTTTACTAAAAAATAAAAAAAACATGTTGACCATCAAACTTCAGTTTTCATATAATTATAATTTCATCAAACACATTGTAAACTCAAAGGTTAAAGAAAACCCATTTCAATTCTCACTTAGTTAAGCAAAAATAAAAAATAAAAAAATCATGTGGGCAGTCTTACTTTGCTGCTGGAGGCTTATGAGTTTTGGCCCCATCACCATCAGCACAATTTTGATCACAACATTCAACCCCTGATCTTGACGACGATGAGCTTGAGCTCCCAAGACTAAGATCAATGGTCTCTGAAAATCCACGCTTAGACCCCGAGCCAGGCAACCCCAAGGTCAACTTGGTATCGTCGTAGTTCAAGCCGGCCGGCGTCTGCTGCTCATTTTCCGGTGACATGTTTCGAATGCTTTGCTTGGAAATTTGATGGACCAACAACTTTAGCCGACTCTGCGTGCATAGCAGCTTATATAAAATGTTGAGGGGGAGAGAATGTGGCCGGCAAAATGATTCGGCCAGTGGGTAGATGACACGTGGCTCGGAAAGAGCGGCTGTGATTCGTCCATGTTGGTGGTAGTAGTGTGTGACGGAAGCGTGTGGGTTGTGATTTCTATGCTTGAATGAAGCTGAAAGCTTGGGGCCCCCCTGTCGGTCCAATTCCGACCTGGTCAATTTTTATTATTTATTTGGGACATTTTGGAAAAAACAAAAGGAGAGAAAAAAAATTTAAAAGAAGCAAAAATGGACAAAAATACCCTTATTTATTTTTAGATTTCCTAAGGAATCCAATACATTTGCATGTCTTTGATTTGAAAGTTGAGTGGTTTTTTTGTCTTTTTTGAAAAAGCTTTGGCTTTTTCCAAAAGTGAAAACTTTTTTATATCTAAAACCTAAAAAACCTTATTTATTTTTAGTTTATTTATTTTTTAATACTGCTAATTCATATAATATAAATATACAATACCAATGGCTACAAAGCAGTATAAATGTGTAACCGGCGGTAAATAATTCATAGTAAAATATTTGTTTTGCTAGAATTTAAAGCTTGTTTGAGAGTGATTCTGAATAGGTCAGAATCGCTTCATGCGAGAACCATCTTTTATGTAATTCTCTATATAATTACTTTAAGTAATTTTAAGTGATTCAGAGAATAAGTACCACCTATATGCTTCTCCATAAAAGCATTTAGAACCACTTAAAGTGATTATTTGAAAAAGTAATTCTCCATAGAAACGCTTTTTGGTCTATTTAATATATATGCGCTTAGTAGTTTACTAAGGTATTTGATGTGTTCCAATTCATTGAATGAATCGATTATCATAATAAAAGCCTAGACCTAGCTAAATATGTTTTGTGGTTTTCAACATTAGCATGAAAAATACCACTACCATTATAAAATCAAACCTATTTTTGTCATATAATGTAAGTTAGTGACAAGAAAGAAAAACCAAGCAACCTACTTAAAATTAAGATTGCCTTTACAAAGTCTCTCTTGTGTGTGTGGATTGGAAAAAAAAAATTTCAAATGCTTGGTTTTTTTTCTTTATTTTCAATCAAAGAGACACTTGTGTATAACTTATTGCTTTTGGCTCTAATAAAGGTATTCGTCAATTTTCGGTGGAAGGGGGGATTCCAAACTGGGGGCTTGTTCCATGGTCGACACATCAAATTTATTTGTTAACGTTTTAATGTTGTGCAGTTTCGATATATTTTTAGTAGATTTGCGTCATCCTAGTTCTAGTTGTCATGTTTTGGGTCACGCTTTCCTTGCTTGTGCAGTACCTGCTTTTAATAATATAAAAGGCAGTGCAATGAACCAGACAAGTGTTACATCAAAATATTAAGAAAAAATTGGCTATTCTCGCAACCAACGTCAAGGCGTACTCACAACCTATCGATTGATCCGTAAATTCTTGCTCATTTCTAATTAAAAGTTTCTAAAATAAAACCTAAAAATAATATTATCCAAATAAGTAGAAAATCACATAAAACTATATAAATATGGAATCATTGGTTTGATATTGGTTACAATTCATTTGATAGATTCTTTTAATTTTGGGCGGTGCTTTGCAAACATTCCCATGCATTGAAATTCCTATAAAATTTGAAATTCAAAAGGCTTCCAATATTTTATTATTTATATTTTTGTTTTTTCTAATTAGCTTAGACACGAAATATTTTTGCAGCTCAAAAGAAATCTCTCTGCTCCTTCCTCTGTAGAACACAAACAAGACCTGCTAATCTACTAGAAGATGAAGGAAGCCGTGAAGAGAGAGGAAAGGGCAGCCATCAATGCCCGCGTGGGGCCAAGCGGGACCCACATGCCGTGGTTCTTGTCTACAGGTCAACTTTGTGGAACTTTCCATGTGGGGCCCCAAAATGACTTAAACTCGAGAGTTTAGAGCTCTGGGACCCACCTAACATTTTTCATGTGAACGTGTTTGCTTGTCGATAGCCGACACGTGTGCAGTTCCACAGGTTTCCGCCCGCGGTTTACAGTTGATAATCGGTTTGCTCATACCGGGATCTCCGGGCCTCCTGTCTGGCCTTCCCCTTCTGGTATCATCCATTTATTTATTCATTTTATTTCAAATAATAAAGAAATTGCCCAACTGTTTGACTTGCACTTAATATTTCCACTAACAATTTTATTTAATAAAAACTACCAACCTAATATTTAAATCAACAACCACCCCTATATTGTTTAAAAAGAAAAGGACTTAAAAAAAATTAAATGGCACTCTTTTTAAAACCACAACCACAACTACGCGGTTGTAAAATGACTTCTATAAACTTAGGAAAAAAACCTCAATTCATGTAACTCACCTATTTTATCATTTGATAAAAAGAAAAAGAAAACTAAAAGGTCCATAAAATCGAAATATTAGACTAAAATATATATATATCCAGTCCGTCAAACACAACTTGATTCTCTCCATATCTCAATTACTAATAATTAGCAAAGAGAATTTACTTGAATGAATAATTAAAGAGTATTTTAGGAATAATGGTGGGTGGAAAGAGATGATTGTGGTTTTTCAAATTTACATGGTGGGTGAGAAGATAAGTTGGGTAGCGAAATAGGACGTTGGTGGAAATAGCGTCACTCTAATTATATAGTCAATATCTTATGGTATTACAATATTCATGTCTCATGAAATTTGTTTTGTTAGATCGATAATTTGTTGCTGAGCATCTCGTTTTCAAATATGAATTAATGTTGAAGATATTTGACAGTTTAATCATTAAATCTTGTATGGAGTATCACACCCGCTACAAGAATTTTTTTGTTGAAAAAAATCAATGAGTAGCAGAATTTAAAAAAATAATGCAGAATACTATACAATTGCAGTCGACCAAATGATGAAAGGGAGAAAAAAAAGAAGAAAGTGCATGCCTAAAGAAGTTCTCTCGTTATAGTGGGGCATCTCAACTTGTCTATCCAATTTGATTTTTCCAAAGAAACCCATCTGTATTGAATTGTCTTTGTTGAAATGAAGCCAGCAAAGTCGAAAGTTCATGTCCCCAAGTAGAAGGTAGGCAGCAGATGTAGCAAGAGATACCACTTAGTGGACCCCTATTTCTTATTATGAAAATTTTGATTTTCATGCTCTCCATGATAGCAATACCTCATTCACATGGAGCTGCTTTGAAACAGCTAGATAGCTTCTTTATATGGTTAGCCAAAGGGGCAAACACGTATGTGGTAGGGCATACATCAATTGGTATATGTACATATATGCCTTGTCATCATGAAAATTAGGTATTATCTATTCTATATATACTAATGAAAAAGGGTTTTGTGAAAATAACTCTTCTGTGAATGGAAAGACTAGTGTAGATAAAATACATTTGGAAGCTGACAAGGAAAAAAGCCACTAATCTCATATGTTTCACCATCAATGGGGTATTAATTAGTTGAATTGGCCCATATTTTTAGTGTGTTCCCAAGTGGTTTCGTGTGTATGAGTTTTCTTCCCTCCTCCTTTCTAATTTGGCCCAAAAAACAAAAACAAAAACAAAAACAATCTCATATGTTTCACCCAATACTAGAACTTTCTTAATTTTTATAAGACAGATTCTTTCGCAAGGAATTGGTAATTTCCTATCATTCTCAAGAATCCAAAGTTGGGTGGTTCAAAATTCTTCCATCCCCATTAGATGACAATTTAGCCCCTGTAAAATGATGATATTTACAATATGATGGTCGAGAAGATACCCCAATACGACGTTTTTCAGAATCTAACTCAGTGAGAAGAACTGAAATGAGGTGATCATAATTTAGAATTGATATTAGTTTACAAATTAAGAATTTGGGAATAAGTAATTGGAATCGGATCAACTACGGTATTTGATTATAGATTTTACCATGAAATTCTCATAATTTTTTTATTTTATTTCATATGTGTAAGTAAGTGTAGGAGAAGTAAAGAATTAGAATCATTTTATTAATAACCATGTGTTAGTAAACACATGAGAAAAAAGGAACATGAATGATTCTGATACCTATTACTGATAAGTAAACATGCCATAAATATTGGACCTTATACAATGTACCAAATCATACTCTTTGTTTTGAGTCATCTGAGGCTAAATTCGAGGAAGGCAGATTTGTAGAGTTAGAAGTCAGAAAAATTCATGCATAATCTGCAAAATTTGCTTAGGATCATGGGGGGTTGATTAAATTTTTCGAATGAAGATAAATTAAGATAGGGGGGCAACTTGACCCAAAACAATGTTATGGATCTCATTGATAATATCTATGGATTAGAATGATAATATCTAAATTAAGATTAAATGTTGGATTTATATTATAAATAGTAAATGCTACATATGCACCAAACTATCGGGACATGTGTGAATGCAGATGAGACCAAAAAGATTCTGTACCTGGAATTATGCTATGCACTAATCATGTGCCTAAGAATCACACAATTAATGTATATGCATGCAAAGAATATGAGAACATGACTTTTTTTCTCTAGAAGTTCTCCACTTGTTAATTTTCTATGTAGTTTAAAGTCAAGAGATGAGAAAATTTGATGTTTAGCACGTCTCCTAGATTTAGCTGACAAGTTTGTTGATTTCGTTAAAGTACGGTATTAAATTCAAATTCCTGATGATATAGCGCATTAGTGTGAGTGGAACATAACAAGGGAAGAAGCAAATGAAATAGGCAAAATTGTACTATAACAACCTAGGTGGCATGTTGCCTATCCATTTGCCTCATGAAAAAAGTTAGTCACTCCAAGGGACTAGAAAATGTAAGTCTACAAATCATTATTATAGTATTTATTTTTATATTGTACATTCATTATTATATTTTATAGAAAGTAGGTGAGAGAGTGGAAATGATATTTTATTATAAAAAGTAAGTGGGGCCCAATATATCTCTTCACTTTGAAGTAGGCAATATTGCCTTGTTGGAGAGAGTAAATATATTTTGCCTATCCATTTGCCCCTTCCCTTGGAAAATAAAAATGCTGATGTGGCAAGGCAAATGAGGTTTACCTACTCTTTTGCTTCTTCCCTTAGAGATGCTCTAACTAAACCAAATGTTAATTGGTTCATAGCTAGCTTAAATACTTCTAATTATAAGTATTTTAAAATAATTTTTATTATTTTATCAAGGGAAAATAGGGATTCTTTCATTATGTTTCACTCTTTAATATAGATTTTAACTTATTGGCCAACTTGCTTAACCCACGCCTGCGAACATAAGCACATTGTTTGATTAAGTACAAAGGTGCTTCCATTTGAACCCTCAATTTTTATTTTTTTTTGGCAAGACCCTCATTTTCTTTGATAAATTGATCAAAATCTATTTAGCCTCTGAAAGCACTCCCAACGGGAAGCCCCAACCCTGGCAAGAGCCCCCCACTAAAGGCAAGACTTGCTTGGGCAAATAGACCTAATGCTAACATCATCAGCCAATTTAAATAAATAACAAAAAAAAAAAAGAAAGGAAAAAATACCAAAAATTTCATAATTTTTATATATAATAAATACCTAGCTATATTCTTCACTTCTCACACCAAAATTCTATACAAATTCTTTTCCTCATATCTCATATCAATAGTGGTTATCCTTGAGTTGCCATTGCAATGAGTGGAAAACTAATGCAAGAGCAAGCACTATTCACATGAATAGTAACAATCATTGCCTCCTCTTGCCTTTTACTATGACAAATAGATGGAAATGCTATAAAATTAGGCTGAAAAAGTCTCTCTTTGGGGGAAAATGGATTTACTTTAATGCCGTTTACAAAAACCACCAGCCATTCTAAACCATGTAAAAAGTGATTAACTTTACCCTTAATTTCAAATGAATAATATAACAGCAGTGCGCAGTTACATCATTTTTCTTGTTCCCTTGCCTTCCTTTTCAAACTAATAACCCTACCGCAGCAGACACTTTGGTCCACTCCTTTTTGATTTCACTAGTCTAATCAGAGCTGTGATTAACAGACAATGTAGTCAAAATCTGCGGTATATGGTCATTACTAGGGGTGACAATTTCCAACATAACCCGTTAAACGACTCGAAATCTGCACAGAAAATTAGGTGATTAATCCGCACGATTAAAATTGTGAGTCAAATTCAGATCAAATTCGAATCAACCCATCATGACATATTTAATAAACAATTGGATTTTCAGTCAACCCGCCAACCCACAAAATGACCTACTTAACCCGTTTATTGTTTAATTTTAAATTATTAATAATTATAATAAATATGTGACGTGTATATATTGATCTGTTCTATTTATTCCACTGTGAACCCTACAAAGGTAGTGGATTTAAACCCACCCAAATGAAAATTCTACCCAAACTTTTTAACTTAAATTTTTTTTTTTTGAATAGTCAATGAGGTCTAATCCAGTGAAAAATGGTCTTGACTTGCATATTAGTAATTTCAGGTTTGAACCCCCATAACACCGTAATGGTAGTGTGTGTGAGAAACCCATTCTCCTGTAATTTAGACTATCAATTGTACTAAAAAAGGGTTTTGATTAGGTTTTGTGTAAACAGATTACTTGTTAAACATGTGACATGTTCAATAATTTGTTAAACAGGTTGCATATTTTGGACCTAACCTAAAACGACTCGAACCCGACGATACGACTCATTGCCACTCCCTAGTCATGTTTAATTACTAATGAAAGTAATTAAATGATCAACAATAAAGAAGGGATATGTTTGGTTTTAGACTCGATTCATTAGCATATGGGCCTGTTCTGTGCTGCTCATAGGTAAACTCGTGATATATTAATAAGGAAGGTAATTGTGTGCTCGTTACTGCATGGGAGGTGGAATCTATGTCCTATAGATGTTGTGGATTCCTATGTTGTTAAGCTTGGACGGTTAATTACTTGTGTTAGAATAGTTGGGCTTTTCTTTGATGGATGGGAAACTAACTTAACGTATATATATAGCAAGGTCCCTTCACAAGCAGCCACACTGGTTTATGCATGACTAGTGAGGAAGATTGTACTACAATTTATCAAAATAGTTGTATCTCAGGTTAGTACCCGAGGTTGTGTATGGATTCTTGAAAGGAAGGAACAGAGAAAAGTTTGTGCTTAACATTAACATATTTGAGCGAGAACTAGAATTCATCATTAAACTGAAGCACCAAGAAAATAGTAAAATAATACAATGGAATGAACTGTCGTTTTAAACACATATATGAAGGAAATGATGAAGGTGGAGGAAAATGATCTCCCCTTAATTTCTAGTGCCTTATACCAATCTTAACATCAAAGTTTCACGTTTGTAATTAAAACAAGAGCTTTCTGCTTAAAGCCAGCAATTAACTACTGATTATATGAAGAAAGAAAGAAAAAAAAAGCATGCATATCATGACATGAGGAAATCAAATGCAGTCAAATCGATCTCCATTTTTGACTTCTTCTGGGAAGAGATTATATAGGATCATCTTTCATAGTTGCCTTGAGGAAGCCCTTGGGCTGCAGTCCAAATCCCTTGGCATCCGATCTCTTCATGATCCTCAGCCTCTTGCATGACTCAGTAAACATCCTGCAAATGACAAATATAAGTTATTGGATTATTTACTTCAATTTTTTGTTTTGGTTTATGCCAATTTGATATAATTCAAATAAGATCCTCTAATTCAAAATCAATTAGTTATGGGTGGAGAGATCCAGGGCTGTAGGTAAATAAATGTTGAATTATCATGATGCAAAAAACAAAATGAATGATGTTATAGACTCTCATGATCATGATGTGAGTTCCGCGTGACCCTATAATATCACGAGCCTTAATTTTGTGAAGGTGTTAAAAGTTAAGGAAACTATTGGGATCTAAATCATTTTTTATTTATATTTAAGTAACAATAAACACTTTCACGACTTTTTGTTGTTGTTGGAGCAAATGCTACAACTTATAAGAGTACGAAGATAACAAAGACACTATCCAAAACCCAAATGTGAGTGGCAGGGACACTTCCACGACTTACTCATTCATGATCGAGTACAAGGTCTTAAGATAAACCATGAACAGTTTCATATAATTATATATAAACTACATATGCTTCATATGTGTTTTTTTTTTCCCTTTTTCTTTTCTCCAATTGGTATGTGGTACAATTTTTTGACTTTGGAAATGTGGTAAAATAAAAGTACCTTTTATTCTCTCCTCAAAATAATGCACTGCCATGACTATGCGGTATGGTGTCAAAGGACATTTTGGTATTATTGTCCCCGACATCATTATATGAAATGCTTGTGTCGGTAGTATGGCTATGGGTCCAACGTAAGATATTCGAATAATGTGAGAAACTATGGAAGGACACTAATATAATTCTATGTCCCTTATATCTTTATCAAATCGACAAAATTAATAGCATGCATGCCTAATTAGTGCCGGATTTGTGGACTTGTGTTAATTAACCCTTTACACTTTACGACTAATTAGCAACCAATTTTGACCCTCTAAGAACAGATTGATGATTTGTCATACAATTAGTAAAGATCTCATTATTAGATGAACATTATACGCCAATTCAGATGTATACAGTTTTAGGCCAATCCTAATTTTATACAAGTGATAATTTATTTTAATATAATCTAAATTATAAAGAGGGGAATTCGAACTCGGATCGGGGCGGTTTGCTCTAACTAACATGTCTGCACTACTTAATTTAACATGAAAGGTGTTTAGTCTCTCCCTTTATAAATTTTTTAAGAGTCTTTCGCTTAGTCAACATGGAGACTTGACTCAATTAGGTCAGCAATTGACTCGTGTCAATTTGGGTTAGGGAGAGATTTTTCTCTTCTCGAAGGTATCTGAACTTTTGCATCTCGGCCATCTAACACCTCTGCTTGTTCGTTAGACTTTTATAAAAAATTTAAAATTGAGCAATGTCAAAACAGATAAAGAATTCATTTCCATATGTCTAACTAGAATTTTAGTGCACATACGTGGGATCAAAAGTAGTAAAGAAGCTTGGTTTGAAACACTTACTCCCAAGGGACGTCTCCCACTAGCATCCAGTCTCCATCTTTGTCTTCATAAATAGGAGCAAATTCGCAGTTTTCTGCATCCTTCAACACCGAGCCTGTCAACGCATACACAAAATTTTAATACCATTTTCTTTAGTTGTTTTTCTTTTTGAATTTGTGATGTTTTATGTGTTCATGTAATATTTTTTGGACAATATTTTCCTCCTTACCCATAACGAGGAATTCCTCCTTACGTTCTATTATGGCTCAATCACAAAGTGACATGTGTCCTCTTTTTCCGAATTATCAAAGCGAAATTTTTTTATAACTTTTATTGAAACCTTAGCTTTTTACCAAAACAAAAAAACAAAGGGCCACAAAGACTTAATTTTGACTGAGGAAAGAAAATTATTATTATTTTTTATAGGTTGAGAAAAAAAAAAAAATTTGGGATTTTTGTTTTTTTGTTTTGGTAAAAAAATAGGGGCTTAGTAAAAGTGGAAGGAAAAAAAAACTGTTTTGACAATTAAAAAATAGAGGACACATGTCACTTTGTGGTTGAGCCACAATAGAAGGTAAGGAGGGACGTATTGTCCATATTTTTTATTATTCTAAAATTGAAGAAATCAGCTTCTTTTACCACATTTATTTTTTCAGAGCACAACTCATTTGACATATTTGATTATATATATACAAAAGCGTGGTATAAAAAAAAAATTAAAATAGCGTTACTTCTGAGTATTTTGATCTTCTTCATATAAATATCTTAGAGCCTGTTTGGTATTCAATTTGAATCCAACTTTTCAAACTCAAAAACAGAATTTGAGTGCAAAACAATGAAAACATGTTTAGTAGTCATATTTTAAAAAACTAAAACTCAAGAACAACTAAAAAAAACACCCCAACTATTAAAAACAAAAAATATATGTTTTTTCAGTTTTTTTTTAACAACCGACAAGTTCTCAAATTTTTAAAATTTGAAAACAGTTTTCAAGTTGCATACCAAAGAAGTTTTTGAATCTTAAAAATAGATTTAAGAATTTTTTTGAAAGAAAAATATAAGTTTTTGAGTTCGCTATTTGAATAGGATACCAAACGTCCCATGAATGTTTTCCCATAAAATTTATATATGTGTAAGTTTAGTTTCATGCTATAAGAGCTTAACATTTAAAACTTTAAACAGTAAAGACCAATTTAAATTCAATTGTGCAGAATATTACTACTCACCGATGCCAAAACAACCAAATAGCTTCTCCAATGCCACAGCAAGATCTGCGTACTGGTTGTGTATGCTCAAGTCAATTTTACGAAGAAAGGGAGCTCCATCCATGCTAACCTTGACGTACATTTTGGACGTCTCATTTAAGCTATTAATCTTCCTCCGGTAAGAACACACCGGAGGCCACCCCACAACTTGGTTCTTCGTTTCGCTTTTCCGGTCGTCATCACCGGATGTGCTATTATTATGTCCATCTCCGCCAGCAATCTCTGAAAAAACCCTTTTCTTCTCGTTTTTGTCCACCAATCTTGGACCACTGGAGAGCCCCAGCCTCAGCTCTGTGATTTCAAGCCCTAAACCTTCTTTGGCCATTTGGGTTTTGATAGTTTTAAGCAATTTTGTTTGTGTTGCTTTGCTTTTTTCTTGATCAACTGTTGATTGGTGGGAGATTGGGGTTTTTTGTGTGTACAGTTTTTAAATGACTAAAAGCAAGTTCTTATATTAGGATGGAGAAGTTTAGAGAGGACATGGTGGGAGCAATGACAGGTCAACTAGGGCTTAGTTGGTCGGTCACATGAGAGGCAGAAGTGGGGAATATGTGCTCCCTACAAACACTAATAAAGGCCGGCACCATAAGGTGGATATGGGACAGATCCTAAGGCTGTTGGTGCTTGGTGATATGGTGGGATCGGATCTTCACCGTTTGATCTTGTGACTTGGGACAGGTCATGTGATTTCCTTGATTATGGTTGTGCTTGCCTAATTTCTTGCTGATTGTTGGGGTCTTATTTTAAAGAAGGGGCTGGGATATATGGCTGTATCGTGAAACATGGGAGTATGTTTTGCAACATATATGATCATTATTCATGCCATTCATCATGCATGTATGCATGAGTACTAGTGAATCATGGTGCATGCATGGTACATACATAATTATGGCTGCTGGCTAGAATTATGTACCTATTTGTGTTAGTATATGTATGAATATAATTGCCTGTGTGCATGCATTGATCCGTATGATGGCATGATGGTAAATGGATATGTGAACATATATATACTAGCTGTAATTATAAAAATAACCAAGAGGCTTTCAATTTGCAAAGGTGTCACAAACAATGCTTTGCTAGGAAGAGAGTATGTGCGACTATTTATGGAGAGAGACTTTCATACAACGAGTACAATGATACGCGGGATAATTTTTTTATGTGTTATTGTATTATTGACTAGAGATAGCAAAATAGTGTTATCCCCGTTGCATATGATGTGACAGTACGGCACATTTTAATTAAAGATGATACGTATGCAAAATTTAATCACCAATTTTGAACACATGTCATCTTTTACTGTATTGTAATTCTCACTGCCACATGCCAAGAATAATGAGTGGTGTGGTCTGGTTTGGATCAATTTTACCTCCAAACTGTGACCATTTAATCCATCGTTGAGCGGTACAGTTTGATTCGGTCTGACTAGTTACCTAACTTTCAATTAATCCCTTATCTTATTTTTTTAATAAAGAAAATTAAGGATATGATCTTTTTTTTTTTTTGTTAATATCGTCAACATTTCATCTAATTTGCCGTTAAATATGAGGACAAATTGGTCATTTCATATGCTAAAAATAATTAAATAATATAAAATAAAATAATATGAAATATAAAATGAAAAAATCATTTTAATAAACAAATGGTGGGCTCCCACCCCCTCCACCTCCTCTCTCTCTCTCTCTCTCTCTCTCTCTCTCTCTCTCTCTTCAATTTTTGCCTCATGAGTCAGAAAAGGGAGGCGGCGACAATGGAAGGAGGGGAAGCAGGTGGGGAAAGTGGTGGTCTGGTTATGGGGGAAGAAAACAGAGGAGAAGGGAGGCACAAATAGGCCTAGGTTTGTGGGTGGGGATAGGGTTTTCATTTTTGTTTTTGTTCTCTTTTTCTTCAATTTTTTCATTATTTTTATTTTTATTGATTTTAAAAAAAATTGGATGAAATGTTGAGGAGAAGGAAAACTTATGTGAACCTCTCTTGGAACAACATGTAGTCAGAGCCAAACATATGAACCAATATATTAGGGTTGGTATAACCTCTCTCATGTAGGATGGTATAGTTTTTTTGTGGATACACTAAATAGACTTTTTATCGTTAGTGTAGCATGTTCTAGTCAATGGCTGAGCCACATAGGCGCAAAGAGGATCTGCACCTCCACTCATCGAAAAATCTTTTGGAGAGGTCCGAATTTGCCATTCTGCTGGTGGCCACCATGTGTTGACCGAACAAATGGTGATGCGGTGAGGCGCTGTTGCGAGGTGATGAAATCTCCAAATCGAGACAGAGAAGGAGAGTAGAGGGGAGAAGAAGACGAAGAGGAGAGCGAGAGGAGAGATGAAAACGACTGGGAAAGAAAAGGGAGATTGATGACTGGAGAAAAAAAAAAGTGTTAGGGTTTTTTATTTATAATATTTATTCTGCTGTAAGTAATTAAATACCATTGTTATACGAAAGTTATACAAGAAGCTTACTTGCTCCAGTGGCATGGGGAGTTGTTTGAAACATGAAGGTTTGGGTGTTAGGCGGAAACATTCCAAGACCTTGTCGTTGATGGATTATGCAACGACACACACACAAACTCCTTTGAGAAAAAGCACACGTACATCGAAATGAGAAAACAAACACACAAGAACACAAATATTTATAGAGGTTTGACCTCGTGCCTACGTCCTCTTAGTGATCCACCTGAGAAATTCACTAGTATGTAATAACAACTATGGTTACAACTTGAACCCCCTTAACTCTCACAAGAATCCTAGCTCTCTTTTCTCTCACCCTTTGCCCAAACCCTTGAGATGCCCTTGAAAACACCCTTGAATTCCCTTGTCATTAACCTAGCCCCTAAAAGTCCTATTTATAATGTATAGGAATTTTTGCTACAAATTAACTAGGAATAGGAAACTAAAACCCTATTAAATTAAGCTAGAAAACAATAAAAAATAATAGGAAAACCAAGTTAAGCACCCCAAAAACGCCAAAACACATTCAATATTATTCACGCAACCGACCGGTCGCTTGGAGAAATTCACGACTTCGCTGCTCTCTGTCAAAACCGACTGATCTCCCGACTTTTCTCCTTCGCTGCAACACCTTGCTACGGTCGCTTTCTTCTTCCTACTGCATCCTACGGTGAGCCAATCTTCAACAGTTTGAAACCCTCTAAAAATTCCCTACTCCGCCACAGATTCTAGTGGACATAGCTCGACAAACCCCAATTGGGCTTGGCCACATAATTCAGTTCGTTGCTTTATCCATATTTGGATAGAACCAAAGCATTTAACAATTAAGTGCCTTAAAATTTATAAATACAAAACGAAAAAAGTTACTAGTTTGAGCACCATTTGTATGGATTACATGCATGTGATGGGAGCCACACCTCCCATGTTGATGGTTTATTCAAGACACAGGGCAAACAAGAGGACTAATTAAAAGGATGTACGACACTTTGTACATCCAGCATTTGTTGTTGCCATAAAATTTTTGCATGTTATGTGTTGGGAACCAAAAGATAATCGTACTGGGAACCAGAGTCACGATAAAGTAGTTCAATGGGTGCTTCT